AGACCACTGCAGGCCAGAAGAGCTCAGAATTGGTTCTGGGGTTGCAGAAGACCTCTAAGATCATCAACTTCAACCTCTTACTGGTCACCAACTTATTAATAGACCTATGACACTTAGTGCCACATCCAATTGTTTCTTTAACACCTTCAGGGATGGTGACTCCACAAACTCCCTGGATAGTTCATTCCAGTGAATTCCAGTCTAACAATCTGTTCTGAGAAGAAATTCCTTCTTAAAGGAAAGGTCTGCTTAGGACCACTGTTTCTAGGGTGACAAGAGAATTGGCTGAAGTCATAATAATCTTCAATATTGGCCACCATTCAGGTTAGTAACTTCAGTTTCAAAAATGTTGTTCCACTGAAGTTGTTATTCAGACAAGCAAAATAAGTTTCCAAAGTGGTTTGTGCTAGATAGCACAAGTTCTTGGGAGCAGCCAGTATTTCTAATAAGTTCAAGAGCTTAGTCCAGGTGCTGTTTGTCAAGGCTGAGGTCTAATGAGCATTTCTGAGATCACAGTGCAGCCCGAGGGGCAGGGAGCAGGGGGAATGCACCACCACACTTACTCAGTGTTTTTTGCTTACTGCATAGAACATATTTTAAAATATACATTTTAAAAAATGAAAATGGGAATGACATGCAACTTGCAATTGCTTTTCTTGGCCCTGAGGGAAAATCGGTATCTTCAGTTTAGCAGTAGTTACTGTCAAAAGACGAAAGAGCAATAATATTGGAAAGGGAAAATAAATTTTGAACTGGCATAAGAATTTGCTTATTTTCAAACTTGTTGAGGGTTTTCTTTTTTAATAATACTATATTGATGTTGGGGAAGAAATAATGGCTTCTACTGTCCTTTAAATATTTTAAATTAGTAAGCTGGTACAAGAATGACTTGGTACTGTGTAATTTAACTGTGTACGAGGAAAATAACCTGTTCTAAAAGATGATGGACTGTCTGTTAATTACTTTTTTCTGAGGTGAGATACATTAATTTTAAATTAAGGGAAAACTTGGTGCAGGCACAGCCATAAAAAGTGATTATTTTCTAAATTAATAAGGAATCTTATACCTGTAAGACTACTGTAAGCCTCTGAGGATCATGAAAAACAGAAGTAGTATGTCTTAAACTCTAAGCAAAATATCCATGCACACTCTCCCCCAGTCACTGGAAGTAATATTCCTGTCAGACAAACACAGCCATGCAGTCCCAGAATGATTAGATAAATGATTGGATACAGAACAATAAGTCCATATAAATTAATTTCCATTGACTCCCTTTACTCCTTATTTACATGAACAAAGTAGATGGTGATTTTATATTCTAATGGTCAAGTCTAAATTGAGTAATGTTTTATTTATAGAGCACTTGGTTGCCCATAAGGTGAGTTAAAGTGCAAATTGTGGTCAGGATTAAGAGTGACTTTTTCCCAGCTGGTAAAAGAGCAGTAGTAGTGGGGTCTGGGTGCATGAATAAAGTATACACTGCTAAGAGGAGTTTTGCTGCTGTACCTCAGACTGTCCCCCATATGTGATGAGTCAGAATTTGTTCTTGGAAACTGAAGAAATGTTGTGTGATTCTCGAGTCAAAAACAAATTGAACAGCATAGTGATGACAAATCTCATTCCATGAAGTACGGTCTTGATTTTCAAGAGATGTATCAGTGTATAAGTGGCAGCTTCCTCTTAATACTGAGGAGCATTTCTGGAGTATGATCAACATGATGAATCTGATCTACTCAGAAAGAGTTGTTTTGTAAACATTGAAAGCTGAAGAGGTGTATGCAAAATCAACAGTGATTTTGGTTTATATAATGTGCTTTTTATGTTACACATGAGGTTTACTTTCTATAACCACAGCTTTTTTCCTAACTTAATCTTTTTCTTTTTGCTTTATTTAAGTCTACGTGAACAGAACCAAAAAGGGACCAGGAAACAATCATATCATTTAACTAATCCTCTCCGGCAATATTAGTACAAGTTATTGATACATTAATCACATCAATAGTGAAATGTCAATAATTCCAATTGCTCTTCATACATCAACTGGGCTAAGGTTTTGTGGCAGTTAATATTAGAAATAATATTTAGTTTAAATCCTCAATTGCATTTAATTATAAACTTGTTTGTGAAAAAAACAGCTGCACCTTTTCCTCATCTCTGTTAGTCTGCCATTTGAAATAATGCAGCAGAAGTTTTCTTTAATGGGCAGAGTTATCAAAAGTTTTGCACGTGTAATCATACAATCTTTCATTATTTGTTGGCCATTGAGTGATCTTCTTCAGTCTTTTAGACAGCAGTGAGAAAAACTATGCATCTCTGTCATTGCAGAGAGTATTAATCACATTCATAATTATCGCCGTAGATAAATAGTTTGTGGGTGAATTACACAGCAGATCAATCATCATTACACTTCCAAGTGTATGATTAGGAAAGAAATTTGGCTGTTAGCCATCATAATGACATGGCTTAACTAAAGTGAGCAGTCTTGAAGCAGATTGAATCAAAATTTTCTTTCCCCAGGGAATAGAAGTCCCAAGGTATGTTCTAGGCAGCTGATATGATAAATTGTTCAGTACTTTTTTGTGCCAACCAGGGATTGCGAATATACTATTTTAAAGCTTTCACAGAAAGAGATCTAAGGAGCATCTTCTTCATTTTTTCATTCTTTGAGTTTTTCCATTAATGTATCTTCAAGATAGAGAGCACTAATTCCAGTAAAGTGATCTTCATGAAATGGAAGCCTCCTCTTCTGAAAGTGAAGTTTTGTTGAGTTGGACTTTGCTATAAAACTTTGTAAAATTCAGGTCTGCTGAAAACTGAACTGAACCTCTTCTTACTGTTCAATAAAGAAGAAATAATGTAATGTGAAAAGACCTATACTGCAAGAGTATAGTATTGCATATATGGAAGCTAATATACAAGGCAGGAGGTATCCTGCCACTTCATGTTAAAAGAGTAAAAATTAAGCCACTTTCCATTACAAGTATAGCATTTCTGTCTCAAAAACAGGTTCCATGCAACTGAGATGATGAGTTTTAGAATGGAGTGAGTGAGGAGCATAGGGCTGGGAGCCATGCAAGGGACAAGAAATAGCAAGGAAGCCAGTGGATGATAGAGTGTCACTTGAGGGGGTGGCAGTATTATCAGAAGTTGGAAGAATGTAGCATGTTAGCCAGAGTGAAAGGAGTAGGCAACAATAACTGAGGTGTGATAACAGAAAGGAACATAAGAGACAGATTTGTATTGTTCTGAGATTGAAATAAAATAGCCTAGGCAAAGCGAACTTGAAAATAATGTATTTCCTGGTGATAGTTCTTGTGATTAACTTGTGCAAGGAACGAGAGTTTCATACCTATCACTAAAATTCAATTTTTTTCCTCGTGTTGAGAATCCTGTATTTTTTATAAAGTCATATGCTTTATCACTGTGTATCTTGCCTTAGGCACACCCAGCTTCTTACAGATGAAATGGCTACAGACCAGTGGTAAATATATTTATCCCTCTGAACCTTAGGAAGGGATGACCTCTCTATCTAATAACATTCAGAACACCTATATGGGAAATACAACAAATACATTGTTGGAAGATATATTAGCTCAAGTCTTTTTGGTTCTGTCACTATTTTACAGACAGTAAGAACATCAAGATTGCAAAAAATCGGTACATAGTCAGCAAAATAGAAAAAACTATTTGTGGATTGTGGATTGTTTGGGATTTCTTTAGTCATTCATATGGGCTTTTTTTTTCATTGGGAGGTCTTTAATAATTTCAGATCATTGAACTACATTCCTACATTCCTAGACTTTCCAGACATTGACTACTGCATAATTGATAATCTCAATATTACCTATTTGATTTTTAAGTTAACAGCACTGAAATTGCTGTAAGTATAAATTTCCTGACATGGAGTTCATTGTGTTATTTGATTCTGAAAGAGAAAAATTATACAAGATGTTCAATACTGTTTAAACTTTCTCTTAATATGAAAATGTAATACTGTGTTGAAGTATGTTCATTGTATAAAAAATATTTTGTTTTATATATATATATAACTCTATATATATTATAACTCTAGAAGAGTCTCAAACTCTTCGGTAATGGAATATGCCATCTAAAATTTGTAAAATTTTAGCGGCCTTCTTGATGCAAATACAGAAATGAAGTCTTAGACAGTTTGTTTTGTTTCAACCAGTTGCTAATATTGTCTTTAATGTTCTCTGAAATTAATTGATTAATTTTATTAACCAGAGACAATCACTTGATCTGTCACATTTTACAGACTATGTAAGACTCTGTGTAGATTATATTTCTCCACTTGAATCTAGAAGGATGATGAAATTTTGAAAGTTCTAAATGGCATATACCTTTGATGAAGAGTTTGAGATTCTCTGTTTTTAAAAAAAGTCTCAGTTTTAAAAACTGGTTTTATAAGCCTTACTCTACTAGGAGAAAGGTGAGGTATCATTGTATGTATTGTATCATTGTATTCCAGACCACAAAATCAACTTCATTCCTTTGCTGAAAAGGGGAAGATTCTGGCATACCTTTCTAGCTCTCCAATCCAAAAAATATTCTCTTGTAGGAAAAGTATAAACAAGAAATATATAAACAAACAGGTAGTTAAACATGAATTAATACTGTAAAACTGTTAAGATTAGTGCATGTTTTAAAGTAATTGCTGTAATGATCAGTAATTATAATAGAAAAATAGAAATTAGAACTGCACTGATTGAAAACTTGTATGACAGATACATGGAGATTCTGGCAATTTGGGTTGTTTCAGTTTGTTATTACTTCCTATAATTACCTCAGCACACTTGAAAAGGCATAATTAAGTCTGACATAAAAAAAAATCTATCATCATCATATTAAAGAATTAATTCTCTATTATAGGTGAAAGCTACATTATTATTTAGGAAATACAAAATGTTATGTCTGATTTTAGTGTCTGTGTCTAGTGGTCCCTTTTTAACCTGTGCTTAACTTTCAGGAAGAGTAGCCTGAAAGAATACATAGAGATTTTGAAACAAGAAGTGTGAAACAAATCCTTGTTCTGCTCAGGCCCCCAGCTGTGCAACATGATGTAAGTTACTAAACCATTTTGTCTCTTTTTTTCTCTTTGCAGACAATGAGAACATATTGTTTTCTGTATGTCTAATAATGCTTTGTTTTGATTAAATTCTTTAATAATCCTGGTGAAATTTTACTTTAAAATTGAATTTAATTCAGTAAATACAAGAGATGTTAAAAGACATATAAGATGTTTTGAAAATCAATTGAAACCTTACTTCATTGCTTTTTCAGCTAAAACTGTTAATTAGACTTGTAATACTTTGACAGATTCTTCCAGCTGACCTAACCCTGAGGTATGTGTGACTGCTTATTTTTACTTTCTTTTCATTCTTAGTTTGTGCTTTTACAATATGTTGAGCATGTAGAAAGTAAATGTTCTTGTTAGCTGAAGTTCTGTAATCTTGTTGTGTTGTTTAAATAATTTAATCCTTTTGGAGTTGTCAAATTTATGTTTCAGTGTTTGTCCCAATGGTCTGGAAGGATGTAATCACTAGTGGATCCAGAAAAAGAAGTAATCTCATAGGAAAGAAATCAACAAATTTTGATAAAAGTTTTAGAGAGTATGGGGAGATATCAGAGTCCTTAGAAGAAAAGAAATATTTAATTCTGTGAATGAATCAGAAAACTCTGTCAAGTTTCAGTTCAGCATCCATGTTAACACAGTATTAACACAGAATCTATCTCACGAATACAATCGTTTAACTGATATGTGTTACAGTATGATTAACATACATCCATAGTAACTTAAGGAAATATGTAATAGAATTTTTAGAGGAATTTCTTGGCTATGTAGATTTGTAGAACCCCATCTGCAAAAAACAGGAAGTAAATAAGTTGTTTAAGAGCAAGAAGTGGGGATTTGGAATCCTGAGTGGCCTGTATTTGAAGGATGTGTTCCTAGTTCTAATGATTCTCAGCCAAATGACAATACAGGTATTAACTCTATGATAAAGTATCAATTGTGATCAATTTGGATCTTGGTTTTTAGTGTAACTTTGGTTGTTTTCCATACATTAGTATTAGTACAAATATATTTTAACATAATTTCTACCTTCATTCTTATATGATTGTTGTAGGAGCATAAGGACTCGTGGTTCCTCCAGTGAGTGTGAACATGAACTGCCACGTGGGAATTGTGCTTTTAGTTATAAACTAACCTTGAGTGTGCTTGTGTTTTTTGTGATCACTGCCTTTTCCTATTTCTTATTCCTTCTTTTGTTGCAGAAAGCCCTATATCCTTTTAGTTTTGCTTTTATCATGCCCAGTATTCCTCCAAAAGGAATGAATTTGAAATCTTTGCTGTTTATTCACTAGTAATTCTTTTAAAATAAGTTTAGATTGTCACATCAGTCATTGTTCTTTTTTAAGCATTTGCAGTTATTTTTTTCTGTGTTAGGCAGCTGAAAAGGTACTTACAGAAATTAAGTAATGAATTAAATTTTAAGGCATTTGTGAAATTAGCTTCCTTTCCTAGCTATAGTCCTTTTCTTTTCTTTTGTACAGATGTAAAATATGTGATGTCCACACAACTATGCTTGCAACTGTCACCCGCTTCAAACTTTTTAAGAATTAACCCTGGGGGTTTGCCGTAAGTACTTTGTCTAATACCATTATCTGTCTTTCTAAATGCAGCTGTATTTCTTATAAAAGTCTAACTCTTAGGTGAAACTCCAACGTTAAGGCTTAAAATGCCTAATTAATGGTTTGGTTGTATATTAACATTATTTTTAAAATGTGTAAAATATTTTACAACTGATTTCACAGAGCATTGATAATGCAAGCTACTCATAGTCTTTACAAACTGAACACTCTTTTTAAAAATAATTTAAACAGCCTGTCATTTTCCAAAAGCCCTTTGGTTTCTTTTCATTGTATTTTCAATGTACACATTTTGTGTGGTTGTCACCTGTGTAAATATCAGCTTTCTCAGAACTGAAACAAGTAAGTAATTACTAACAATTTTGTATAAGCATTGTTTTATTCAAAATAACTTTTCACAATTTTACTCAAAAACATGAACCATGAGGAGACTAAAGTACAGATGGTATTCAACAAATGCTCTTACTTTGAGTAACTGTGGTTTTGCTGCTTTGCCTGCTACATCTTGCTGATCACTGTACTATCTTAGCATCTATGGAAATTGGTCCTGTCTCTCTTATTGCATTCTTTCAATGGTTCAGGTTTATTATTTATTTATTTAACATTCAGTCTCTAGGAAAATAAGTCAAATTGTACATTCTACTTTTTTTCTGAAAGCAACAGAGTTGATAGTTTTTCCAGCTCCCTGGATTCTACATTGACAAATGTGGGCCGGTCAGATGAACTCTTCATCATTGTTTGTTGGGAGTTTAATTACAAACCTAAATAAGCAAAGTCAAAAATTCCCCCCAAACCCCGCAATAATTTTCTTCACATTCTAAGCCACTGTTCCTCAAGATGGAAGGTCAATGGGAAAAGGTCTTCATAGTTGTGCTAGCCTGATCTTTTTTGTCACATAATCTTGTACACTTGAGGTATTTGAAAAAGAAAATTGAAAGCTGATGTATAACCGTATTCAATAGGAAAACAATTATATGAGTGGAGTGATGTATTCTTGGTGACCTGTGTTGCTTAGATACAAACTGTTGTTTTGTCAGTTGATTAAATCCTTGTCTTCTAATTGTTTTTTACTGGAAAGTCCATTGCAATGCCTGGCTCAGGCTTGGACATTACTCCATTAACCATGAGGTTTCTTCACTCTCACTTCATCCCAGCTAAAATCATTCAGACACCTGTAAGTGAGCATTTCTTACATAAAATTTCAGTTATTAGTACTGAATTTACCTGGTGCAAGTTGAGTTAGAGTACACATGATCATATAGCGCATTTCTGTTACATAGCCAGTGCACACAAGAAAAGATTTTTAACAGCATTTTACTTTCATATTTAATTAGTTGATATGAGGCCAGGTAAGTAATTTGCCACCAGAAACTGACCCTGTCAGCATTACTTGAACAAATGTAAACCAATGAAGTAATTTTGTATAGGATCTATTCTGTGTGTCGTAGTATTGCATGCTTTTGATGAAGTACAAGAAATTATCTGGCTAGATTTACTATCTCAGTGTTTTGAGTTTTTTTCTATTAGTTACTGAAGAATATTTCTAGAATCACAGCTTCCATATTCATCTACAGATCTGATGCATTTGTTTTCTCTTGTTTCACACTTTATCTTAATTATTGTAAAATCCTTGTTTTGAACTGAAAAACATGGCCATTGTCCTTATGTATTTTTGTAGAATATTGCTGCAGTGTGTAGTTTCTTACATCTCATTTCCATATCCTCCTTTAGACTTGTTTCAAAACTTCTAACTTTAGACCTCAGGTGGTTCCTCCCTTTCTAGCCTAGCAATTATTTCTCTCTTGTTAGACAAATAGTCAAATTACTTTTTTTGCTTTCTCTCATGTTGTATTTCACACTTTATAGGAATTTATATAAACATTCAGAAATTCCCTTACATTCCGTGGCTTCTTACTGTGACTTTTGTTCCATGTACTCACTAATTCAAGAACTGAGTTTCACAAGTGTTCAACCTACTTAGGGAATGTCCTTGAAGTAAGTAATAGTAACAAGCTTAACGAAAGACTGTACAGATCTTCACAGCCTTTTTTTCCCCCTACAATTATCTATAGAAAATAGCATTAAATAATACATTTTCAGGTGGGATATACCTTAAACCTGGACATCATATGTATTTCTGGATACTGTGGTAACTGCTGTTGTGTTGTCAGGGAAACAGCCTCGTGCTCAGTAGGCAAAACCAATGAGGATTAAGCAAAGCTATAATATAGCTAAGTCCCTGTGACCTTACCAGGATCAAGATCTGTCAGTTCTTCACTTTGCAAGTGTCCCTCAGGAGTGAGGGAGATATGCACAAGTAAAATCATACCTGCAGTATGACTGGTATAAGTATCAGACTTGGAGTATTCTAAGAAGTGAATGCATTTCTCAGTTAGATGGATTAAAAGACTCCGTTTGTGTAAGTAAAATCTTTATAAACTAAATGATAGAAAAGTTTTCATGCGAGCTATGAATGTGGAAGAGATAATTAAATTATGATGAATTCTGGAGTCTCTTTTATCTTTGTTAAAAATTCACACAAAAATATACCAATATAAAAGTACATTAAAATCGCAGGGATAAGAAACAAAGTTTATAGCACTCTGGGGTGCAGAGTAGTTGCCAGTAGTTATCAGCACAGTGTTCTTCTTTAGTAGTATTGATGCATGTGTTACTAAAGTAAACCTCCATTATACACATATTAATTCATTCCAGTTTTTTTGTATTAAAAGAAGTTAAACTTTTTCTGCTTAAGCATTAACTTATTTTTGCTTTTTCTAATGCAAAATAAAATACCTAAATACATTAGTTGAATTTTTATCAAAAATAAGAATGAAGGAGGATTTACATCTGATATGGTCTGGCAAAGTCCCTGGAGTTCATTGTTATTTTCTTTCTTGTATTGTTGTGTAATATTGAATGTGATTTAATGTCTTTCTTAATTAGCCCTAAGTTTTAATTATTAATCTGCATGTATCAAGCATTATATTTTTTTACATATCTCTTGCATTACATGTCCATTATAAAAAAATTAAAATCAGTGTTAATTCATCCCCGGACAATGGCAGATGAACCTTTTTCAATACTGATATTTGTCCCATTTCTTGTGCTGAGAAGGGAGCATCTGAGGCAAAGTGTGAAATGGGATGTCTGATTATGATAATGGCTTGGCTTTCAACATTACCTTGTGATATATTTCCTTTCTTAGTGCTTTGTTTTTTCCTTTAGGTTAATCTAAACCTCTGGCCAAAGGCTTTGGATTTTATTACTTTTGATTATTCTTTCCAGCTATCCCAGTCCTTTTTATCAGTGCTCTTGCATTTTTTTTATTTTTTTATTTTTGTATCTTATTATTTAAAATAACTGGGTGTTTTTCTCAAAATTATTGTCTCTACCATTTCATCAAAGTCACAGAAAATTTCTTTCTATAAGATACCTTTTACCAAAGCAAGTTCAGGCTTTTTGCAGCATGTTTAAAGCCATTACAGAAAACTTGAAATTGTCCCGATTTCATTGCTTCATTTCTGAGAGTAGCTACTTTCCTAATAAGATATTTCTATCAGAATATCAGGGGAATAAATGAAGCAAGAGGACAGTGAAGACTTGGCAGCTTTGTGAGTTCAATATGATATTAGCCTTCTTAACTACATAAAATGCACAATAGAGAAGTTAGGGATGAGAGCACATTCAGTAATTTAAATATTTAATGCTTACATATTTCAGAACAGGACAACATCAAAGTTTTTAGAATACATGCAGAAGTTGACTTAAAAGACTGCAGTCTAAGTTCTGGGAGAAAAATGCAATATGATGAAAACAGACCATTAATTTGCAAAGTAAAAGGATTAGGAAACATGTTGTGCCTTTCTCATTCCCATTTCTTCATTTATTATTAATTTTTTACTGTAAGTTTTCAGGTCAGGTACATAGCTGAATACTTTTCTTAATATATTATCTACGTCTCAAACTCCTTCCCCTTCTTGTATTTTTCCTAATTTTGTACAAATAAATCTGCCCTTATTTTCTCTTACTCCACCTTCTATTAGAGTATTAGAGCTCACTTATATGAATGACCTTGACCAGTAAAGACTAATTTAGAAAACAGTAAGTAGAATCCAACTTTTTTTTTTTTTTCATTTTCTTATAACCAACTAACGAGTTTAATAGTGTTCCAGTAAATTACTGCAAGTTACCTACTACCCTGCTGCTTTCTTGGATAATCTGAAATCCTGAGCAATAGTGATAGCAGCAGCAGCCTCCCCAGTTGTTTTGTTTGTGGAAAAAGAGGCAGATCAGCCTTTCCCAGCTCATGGAGTGCATTAGGTGAATCCAGGACATGTCATCCTCCCTGTGCATGGGCTGTGCAACTGATCCATGAGTGCATAACAAGTTCAAGATATTTCTGAAGCTGTTGATTTACTGCAGGCCATCTGTGCATGACCTAAAGCCACCTGTCCAGGTGTTCCTACTTGTTTGGTAGATACCTGTTCTTCCATGTGAAATGCTTACAAATATAGTTTTCTCATTCTATTTTAATTACCAGTGTAACTTTGCTTCATCTCTTCTAAATACAATGTATCATGGACATCTAATTTTTTTGATCAAATTCAGACATGGATTCAGAAATAGTCCTTGGAAAAATATTAATGTGAAGTCAGTTTAATACAGTAATACCAATATGGGGGAAACCAGAACGAGACTTTGAGTGCTCTAATCACATCTGATTTTTCCTCCCCTTTCACCTTATATAGCTATTGACAGTGCTGTAAAATACAAGAACAGTATACAAAATCGAAGTATTCACATTTGTCATATATTGACAACTAAGCCCCAGAAAAAAAAAAATGAGGTTATGGAAGACCTGTGCTGTTTAGGTTGCTGATGTCAAAAGACTGAACAAAGAACTGTAGTTTTAATTAAAATAAGTGAAAGCATAATGTCCAAGCTCTAATTTAGTCCAGTGATCTTCTCAAACTGAATTCTTGTGAA